ACACACACACACACACACAGCGGTACACAAACATATACCAAAACAAAGGAACAATTGACAGGACTGAAGTTGCAGTATGTGTGTGTCTGTGTCTGTGTGTCTGTGTGTTTGTGTGTGAGTGCGTATATGTGTGTGTGCAACAAAATCAGTGTGAATAAGAAACCAGCTGCGTTATCTGACGATTTGAATGTAGAAGAACCCAGTAAAAGAACAAAGAAATAAAATAAAATAAGGATAAAAATAAAATTAAAAAGATGGAAAAAAAACGAAATAAATAACTAAAGGAACTGGGGGGAGGGGGGGGGGAAATTGTATTGAAATGAAACAACAACAGCAATAACAACAAAATGCAGACCAACCATATCAGTTGTATACCTCCCAAATGAACTGATATCAAAAATTAACCGAAAAAGACCAATAAAAAATTGATGATAAAAGAGCAAAATTACTGATAACTGTACACATACCCAACACCTCGTCACTTGATGCTTCAATTTTCACTTTTTCCTTTTCTTCTTTTCTGTTACTTTTTTTTTTTTTCTTTTGTTGCAATCCAATAACTACGTTGTTCAAGATATGATATAACCGAAGTGTGTACCATGGAATCCAAAAATAGGCAACAAAAGTCTTCTCATATTTTTTTCTTGTTTTTTTTTGACGGACAAAACCCTGTCCCACCTCCAACGCAACGCCCCTAAGGAGAGGGAACGCATTTCGCGTCGCAAGTAACAATATCATCCCCGAATATGTAACCACAATCGATCGATATACATCGCAACAAAACACGTTTGTTGCTTCATTTCAACATGAATATATACTCATTTCTTTCTTTTTTCTCCGTCGTCTTCTTCTTCTTCTTTTCTGCACCCCGGTTTTCCTTTATTTTTTTTTTTTCTTTTAATTTATCCTTCGCTAAGGTAGATAAAAATTGGGCAATTGAATTGTGATGAATTGGTACAAAACAAACAAGTTGTTGAACACTGATCTTGAAGTCACAAAAATGCACGGTGCTATACATTGAAAAAAAAAAACTGCGGCGACAAAACTGTAAAAACTGCACATCCAACGATCTATCCAGCAACGGTATTGCTTAACTGCAAAAAAAAAAAAAAAAAAGCAAAACCCATCAACTGTAAACAGTATTCTTCTGTTCACATGTAACATCTGATCAACATCTTAAACAACTAACAAAATTTTTGTCATTGACTGAGGAAATTTTTATCAGTAAAGTAATTATTTTTTAGGAAAAAAAAAAAAAAAAATAGGAAAATTACACGTTAACTTTTGATTAGGAAACGGAATATTGTTTAGCAACAATCAACTGGTTTCCAGAAGGTTACAGTTTCTGTCTTGAGGAAATTACTGAAATCATTTTAGACTAGTTGCTAGAATGCAAGGAAAAATATGTTCAAATAGACAATGTACTAAAAGAAAGTTATCTAGCCATATGAATAGACAGATGAAAGTAGTAGCGAAGTTGAAGGACAATAACCGATCCCCTCGAAACTTAGCGGTCATAAGTTGCAGCAACTGTTAACAGTGTTGTCGTCAAGAATATTT